ACATCTCGCCATTAAGACTGAGACATTTAGGTTTCAGTGAACTTGCAGTGTATGTGTTTGTTTTGTTTTTAAGGCATACTTTCTTTTAATATTAGCTCTCTGCTCAATTGTTTCACTGCTTCAAAGTAGCAGCACCTCCCCTCTTGCATTTGTTACCTAGAGGAGAGTGACTGCCAGCACACCCTAGGGCAGGAGCAGGGGCAGGCAGTAGAGGAGGACTTGCTGCAGGGGTTTCCTTCGGGGACAGAACCAGGAGGGCAGACGAAGCAAGCCAAAGGTAAATGGACTGGATAGCAGAGAGAGGCTGGAATATGCTTCTTTCCCTTTCATAAAGGGTATCGTGAGGTATTACTTTGCTTGAGGCATCTCAAACTGGGGAAATGAGCTTTAGGGGTTGTTCTGAATGATATAAAGACAAAAGTACTGTGTAGTGAGCTAGGAATGGGGCACTCTTGAAATCCAGTCTGTTTGTTGATCATAATTTCCTGTGTGACTTCTAACACATTGGGTGTGTGTGTGTATATATATATATTTGACAGAGGGAGTAGATTTGTTTTCTAATTCCCTGTGCTTTGTATTTTTCCCAGCATGGACAGTCTGCTTGCCATTTATGCTTAAAGATTGTTTCCATTGGGCTCATATCTCTGTTTCTTACATTTCACGTTGGGCAGCTTTAGGTACTCTGAACAGTACCTTTTAATAAGAAATGGTTTCCTCTGAAATGTTAGTGTTCTATTGGGAAAATCTCATTTCTTTTTTCAACATTAAGTTACTTTTTTTTGCACAAAGTATGCCTTGGTATATGTTGAAAATATGAGACTGTATGCATAAATATGTTGTTCCTATTGTTTCTGTAGTTGGCTTTGCATGTATAAGGAGAGTGGATCTTGAGTTGCATTCTCCCACTCACTACAACCCCTTCTTCCATACTAATAGATGACGTTATTGGCAGTAGGAAAAGCAGGGCTTAGAGGACTGTATGTGTGTGACATATCAGCCTCACTTCCGTGATTAAGTATGCAGTTAATCTGCAGATTAAATACTAAGCACAAATGCAAAACAAAATCCTCTACCATTTCTGAAGGTGCCCGTCATTCAGAGCTGGGCTTTTGGATGAACTTGAGAAGCAGGCTCCTGGGCTGCCCATAAAGGAGTGGGGACCTACAGCCATGAGCTGTGGAAGGTGCTTCTTGCATGGGAATGGGTTACCTTCTCTTTGATGGAAAACAGTGCAGGTGTTTGTTTTATTTACAGTTGCCTTGGGAGAGTAATTATTGTGCAGAATAAAATGGGAATGTCTGACTTCTTCCTTTTTTAATTGCCTGCCTAATTTAAAAGCCCCAGTTTTCCCTGCTGATGACTGAATGCAGAAAGGAGTGCCGAAACGCTGATTATCAGAAAACACAGTCTAAAACCTGCAAGTCATCTGTACTGGTTTGCAACTTACAGCCCTGTTTGTGTGTATTGGTCTTTTTCTGAAGTGAGAAGGATCTTAGATCCAGCCCATCACTGAGAAGGCTGAGAAAGCTTCTCTATTTTCTCACCTGGATAAATCTGTGATTTTGTGTCAGAGGAATAATGGTTTGGCATATTGGAGCTATTCTGCTCTGAGAGATCTTTGTAGTTGTTAGAGCAGTCATTCTTTCCAACAATTCCATTAATTCCTATTTGCAGACTCTGACTGAAGAATACCCAGGATAAGCACCAGCAGGACGGATAGGCTACTTCTGGGAAAGTCCTCAGTTAAATTTTGCCTTGAAGTTAGGGATAAAAGAGCTATGAACCAGTTTGCAGTAGTCCAAAAGCCAGGCGCTCAGCCAAATTACCAGCTGTTAGATGAGCTGTGATTGTTGTCCATGTGTGGTCTTCACCCATGGCAAATGCAAGGTAATGTAATTCAGCTGAACTCCATCCCATTAAAGTAAATGGGCTCCCATTAGCCGTGGGTCAGGAACATGCACTTGGGGAGCTATACAGCTTGGTTGTTGTGTGGGTGGCTGCTATTGCACTGTACCACAGCTCTGCTGCAGCCTCTGTTTGTGTGGCCTGTTGACCAAGTAGCAGGTATGGCCAGCTGCAAGGAGAGGGAAGGTGAAGTTGTGCCTCCAGTTTGTGAATACTGCCCCTAAATCTCATGCTATTTGGTTGGGTGGTTTTTTTTTCATTTGTTTGGGGGGGGGGAGGAGCTGGGAGGAAGTGGTCAATGTGCTGAGTTTGGAATTGATGGAAATAGTGGTTTGCTGTTTCTAACAGTTATGGCCTCCTCTTCCAGTAGGAGGACCTACTGTCTGTAACAGGTACTGTTGCCAAACACGTCTTTGTTCTTCTGGGAATGTGCTGGCCTGAAGGTCTCTATCTCCAGTCAACTCTCAAGCTTCAAAAACAGGAAACATTATTGCAGTTTTCACCTTCCCAAAATAACTGTGTTAACTTCTAACAGGACTAAAATTGTCCTGTTAGTAATAGAGCAAGCAACAGTCAGTTCCTTTGTCTATTGTATCAGTACCTTGCCCAGTAGTAGCAGGACATGCAGAATGTTTCACCCACAGGCAGTTCAACAAACCTTGGCAACGTGGAGCCATGTACAATTTAGTGACCGTAAGAGGGTTTTAGAAGGAAATTGGAATAAAATAGTGTTGAAAAGGGTCTAAGGTGGTCTTGCATTGGCAAGTTATGATTATAGTTTATGATTTTAGGCATTTGGAGTAGATGATTTGATGCACGCAGCACCACCGCAGTGTTATGAGGTCAGGGTTGCGTATACCTCTATACCCTTGTGATTTGGTGCTTTCTTGCAAGCTGGGGCTGACATCTCCAGTTAGTGGCTGCTAAAAGCTTTAGGTTGTAAGCCATCCCATTTCCACTGTCTCCCAGAAATCATTTCAGTTTGGCCTTTTTTTTTTTTTTTTTTCCCCCAGCTCAGATCCTCCTTCTTTACTGGGATTCTCTGGAAATGCAAGTCCGGATGTATTTCTTAAGCATACGTGAGGTGTAACATCTGTTGTTTGTGACACAGATCACTGCACATGGCAGGATGTATGTGGAAATGTGTGCACAGCCAGCTTTCACTGCACAATGAAGATTTGGTTAAATGGGAATTAGGATTAATGCTGGATTTAAGAGTCTCATAGTTGGCTGGTAATAACCTAATCTCCTCAAAGGCTGCAGGCAGGCTGGCAGCATTCAGCCCAAGGCTGTTGTTTGCAAAACCTGAAAGAAATTGAATTTTGATACTAAGAGATCTTTAACCAGAGCCTTTCAAAATAGCGTATGCTCTTCTCATCCTTGTGTCAATTGGAGACATTTAATTTATTCACCTATGCTCCTACATCTGATGGGTATTTGACTCTTTTTTTTTCTTTTTTTTTTGTTTCCCTTTGTAAGAGATTAGAGCTTCTGATTGATTGTTATTATTATTATTATTATTATTATTAGTGAATAAATTGCATTCTGGAAGTTAATATACCAAAGTCTCCATGTAGGCAGAGTGAGTTACATCTATGTAGGGCAGCAAGCACTACCTAGTTTGAAGTGGTTTGGGGTGCAGAATGTCTTTTGGGTAAGGAAGCTCTGGAGTCTGCAGAGGTGTGGAGCTTTTGGTGTGTTGTGGTCAGCTCTCTCCTGTCTGGTTCAGTTGTTGCTATGGTAGAGACAGCCTGTGAGAAATGAGTTGGTGAGTATGGGCAAGTCATATGAATCACTGCATTTGACAGCAGGTTGGGAATAAAGCATGTTTTGAGGTTAATTCTTGCTTCAGTTTACTGTGGCAGCAGTGCAGTTTTCTCTGTGCCTTGTCTGGAGTGAAAGTCAGACATTTAGTCATCAAAGTAATCAACATTTAATTGTAAATACAAGTTAAGGTAGAGTTTTGGCAGGCTTAGTCCTGCATTCTCAAACAGAATGAAGGGTGGTCCTGTGTGGAGCCAGGAGTTGGACTCAATGATCCTTATGGGCCTCCTGCAGCTTGGGGTGTTCTTGTATATCTGCTTTTGATTGCCCCCTTCCAGCCTTCTCTTGGATAGCAGTTTTGTCTGATTCTGCCCAAACTGTGACAGCTGTCTTTTGCAAAATGTTCCATCTGCACTGCTGTTTATGGTAGCCTGGAAGATGATGTGCTTGCTCTCTCTGCTCTTCCTCTGTTTTAAACCAAATGTTCTTTCTGTGAATGTATTCCCTTTGCAGAGGGTATCAAAGCCTCCATAAATGATGCTGTGTGGCACTGTCAGTTGAGGTTTCTGTTAGGGCCACTGAGGCTGGAAGAAGCAGAGATGTTTTGATTTGAGTGTAAAGCTTGTCCTGACACTACTGATACAGTTTAGTATCTTTGTTGCCCAAATGAAAATGACTTACCTGCAGAGGTGATGGTGAATAGGCACCTTTATCAAAACCTGAATCTTCTGTGTTTTTTTTTCTTATGTCTGCTCATTTTATTTTTTGTTGCTTTTTGTTGTTCCTCCTTGCCTTTCCTCTCACCACAACCTTGTGCCAAATCTACTATCAAATCCTCCTCTTAAAACAATTAATCTTTAAAGCATCAGCCATAAGGAAGGACATTTCTTCTGAGGATTCTTCAGTTTGCTGTGTTACCTTATTGTCATTGGATGTGATGTTGAGAAAGGCATTGAAGTTCTGCTTTCCCAAGGGTGAAGGCCCACATGATGACTTGATTAAAATTTGAAAGACGGTGACTTAATCTGCTGCTGCTAACACCCCAGTTCCCGTTCATTTCAGAGAATGTGAAAGTGTCAGTTTAAATTCAGATCTATATAGTAGTTCACAAATCCCCCCCAAAGCACAAGTTTAGAAAGGCAGGTTAAGTTACTGTTTTAGAATGTCCTCTGTTTTTAGACACTATAATCCAGCCAAATCTTCTCTCTTTCAACTGTTTTCTTTTTCTTTTTCTCTTCCACAGAGATTAATGGGAAGGAAAAGTGGGTAAAGAGGGAACCCAGAGGAGCCTGGCACCCAGCAGTGAAGGTTAGTAGAGAGCTGCGTGAGCTGTCCCAGCACAAGAAGGTTTGTTTTGGCTAATTAAAAGCATCCAACTGTCTCTAGGAGACCTTAGCCCTCTGCAGGAACCAAACGGCTTGATTTAAGTCATGTCACAGTTCAGGGAAGAGCCTTGTGAGCATCTTAAAACTATTGCTTTGTTCACTAATATGAGCGGTTGGGGGGTTTGGTCTATGGCTTTTCTGGTTTGTGCTGCGAGGTGGCAAGGACTGCTTAGAACAACAGTGTGTAATGAGACAGAGCTGAGCCCTGGGGCAAATGAAGCTGTGATTTCTAAACCTGTAAAAACTCAGGAGAGCATGCATTAATGCCGTAGCTTTCAGTCCTAGCTTCTAGTAAGCAGATAGGGGCCATTATACCCCTGTGAGCAGAACTAGGGATGAGGAGGAATATCTCTGTAAAATCTTGGAGAAGAACAAGCATGGTGACTGGTTTAAAAACAAGCAAACAAAAACCCTCTCACATAAGCAAGATGTTTCTGCCCTAGAATGTGAGACTTCATCCAGCATGAGGATTTGAGTCCTCTTAGTGCTGACGCGGGCATTAGCCAGTGGTGTGTCCTGCTGCTAGGCTGAGTGTTTCTTGAAGTCAAGGAATTTATGATGACTATTTTGGCTGTAAAGCTTTTTGTGTTACAAAAAAAGAAATTGTGCTGTGTGTGTTCTGTAGTAGCTGGTAGAGATGGATGGGTGTGAGTAAGCTGTCTTGCTGATGGTACCTTTGAGAGTCCAGACTGATGGATCTTACAAATACTTAGTGGCAATTTGTTATTCTCTCTCCAGTGGAGTTAGCTCTGTGTAAGACTGAGAGGTCTGCCAGAGACCTTCACAGCACATGAAGCTGCACATCCAAGCTAAGTGCTCAGAGCAGATCTAGTGGATGATGCTTTGCTTTTCTGTATTTGCAGTCTTGCCTGTCCTAGCCCAGCCAATGTCACCACAGCTAGCATAGCTCCATCAGCAGTTTTTCCTTCAGGATTTCCTAACTGTGGCCAGGAACATGCAGCCGCTGTGCTCTGGCGTGTCTGTGTTGTGATACAGATGAATGTGGTTGGATGATGTGTAAACACTGCTGCATGTTCTGATGCTGAATGTGTGCAAGCTGTTTGCACAGCGTTACTCATTTATCCCCCTAGTCTTTTCCATGCTCTCTGCAAACTCTGCTGCCTCTCTATCTCCCCTGATAAGCGGGTGTGTGATCTGAGATGGAGCTAGCAACCAGAGCTGAAGGTGGGCGGGAGTCCCGCATGCATAGTTTGGGGGCAGCTTGGTTTCTTTTCTGATAAGCCTGTGCCTCTTGCGGCAGTGCTGTGCGCGCTCCTCTTAAACTGTAATCATAATCCTCTTTACAGCAGGCGCTGCTATCCCCACAGGAAGCATTAGCAATATCACAAAGTGTGGAGACTTCATTGTTTTCCCCTAATCTGTGAAGGGAGCTGAGACAAGACAGAGGAAACTTTAACCTATTCTGTGCTTCGGTGGTAAATAATTGTCTTTTTACTGGCTGGAAGAATGGAGGAAGCCTCTTAATATAGATAAAGTAAGTGCAAGGCTCGCAGGCTTATCATGCTCTGTGGAATTCAGGAAAGGACATGTCCTTGAATTCGCCTATCTGCCATGCCCCATTTTTTGTGTTTGGGAGAAATGAGTATATTAAAGCTGCCCTAAGTGACTGCTGGATGTAAGGCACCTCTTGCCAGGAAACGCCATAGCTACTCTTTTGTTTGAGGACCCTGAACAAAAGGCTTTGGATGCTTAATAATGTGCAAATTTGGGTGGGTGGGAAATAGAGAAGGTTAATAGGGCAGACTGACAGAGGAGGAGCTGAGCTTGGGAGAGGAGGAGAGGGAGAGGAATGCCGAGGACATGGCAGCACGCACAGGGAGATAGAACAGGAGCAGCAGCTCTTTCTTGTCGTGCTAAAGTTAATGTGGTCACCACTGGAAATTTTGGGGTAAGTGTAATCTGTCCTCTGAAATAGCGGGACTGCCAGCCACGGGGTGTGAGAGGCCGCAGTGTGGCTCCACATCAGCTGTGGGTGCGCAAGGCTGTGCTGAGAGCTGCCAAGAGCACATCTGTCATATGGGGAGCTGGCTGTGACCGCGTGTGTGGGTGGGAATTCACTTTGGGTCATTGCTTTATGTTCAGCGAACTCCTCTTTGCAAACTGCCTGCCATAAAATCTGTCGTGTCACGCTTGGCTGTGTGCCGTGGGGCAGGCAGTGAGGGGGGCCTGGGAGTTGCTCGTGGTATGCGGTGTCTGTGAAAGTTCTGTAATCAAACCACCACAACAGGAGCAAAGAAGCAAAAGCCTCTCAAAACTGGCATGAGATAAAGATCTGGAGAATTTGCTTTTTATTTTTCTCGAGAGTCCCTGGAGATGACTTCTTTTAAGGGAAAAAATGTAGCTTTCAAGGTCGAGCCTTTTTTCCCTCTTTTTCTCCGGACTTCAAAGGCAGCTGAGAGCTTCTTAGGAATGTTACATCTACGTGGAGCGACCATGAATTGGAAGAAGGACACTTCTTCCTCTTCCAAGTGTCCAAAGTTTCTGCCTAAATTACCTTAAGAGTGCAGTAAACAAGACCAGACCTCAGTGGGCATGGGTGGCACCACATAGCAGAGGGCTGAAAGCTGGCAGTGGGGAGTGGTTTTATGCAAAGGCCTTCGGTTGTGATGCGGGCTTTATTTTCCTGATACCTTAACAGAAAACCTTTTAATGTCTGTGCCTTGAAATAACATTGATTCTGAAATTGAAACTGAAGAAATTGACTGAAATGTAAACTTGTAATGCCTGCCTGCCCATCCTCGAACTCTTAGCTTTGGCTACTTCTGTAGCTGCTGACACACGCTCTTTTTTCTTTTTATTGAACTGCTTATCCTTTTTCCTTTTAATCTTAATCTGTGTATATCAAACAGTGAAATCAACCAGTTTTGCTTCCTGACTTTAATGTCAAACTACTGTTCCTTCCTCGTGTTATCCAAACCCTCCTGGCAGTGAAGCGGCTTTGGGTTGAATGCCTGACATAGAGGACAAAACAGGTTGGAACAGGGGTTAGAACTTTGGAACTAATTTAACACAGCTCCACTGGTAATGAGTGCAGACTTCTTGCTGATTGTGGTAGAAAGCTGATGAGTAGCACTGATGAGAGCACTTGGAAATCTCTGCAGTAAAACGTATGGACACAATCTGGTCTCAAGCAGTCATTCATATCTGCCTCTTTACATCTCAAAAGTGTAACTCAACTGCAAATGGCTTTTGCACCAATTATTTCACTCTTCCTTTTGAATAGATCCGGGAGGGGAGCTGTTGTTTATCCCATTTCTCCTGTGCAGCTAAAGCTCAGTTTGTGCTGAAGTTGTTTCCTCTGTGCTTGCCATATTAAGACCAAGGTGTGAGATGTGAGATTTGTTGCATGGGTACCCAGGCTGACAATGACAGTTGTCTCACTGCAAGTTGGGTGAGTGTAGTTCATTTTGTGTGTTTTTCTTTTCAACTAGGCTTCTTAAATGACGAAGAGCAATATTTAAGCTTCCGAGTAAATAAGCAGAGCACCCTGGCTTCATCTTGGCTAATCTATTTAACCTTCATCAGCCCAAATATTTACTTTAGGCATTGAATATCCGGGCAGGGTAATTTTGATGCTAAAACTCACGCACTGAGAATGCTGTAGATTGACTAATCCTGCAAAATTCCAGAAATCCCTGTATGTGTAAATAAACTTCCTATGTGAAGGATTATAACTAAATAAATGCCATGAATTCAGATCAGCAGGGCAGAAGTGTAGAAGTTGGCTCTCTTGTGTCTGCTTGCTTCTGTATTTATTTATTTTTAATAAGGATATTCATCTTAGCCTAAATAGATGAAGAAAACTGCATATACTGAAGCAGAGTGCTGTCATATGTTTCGGGGAGGAAATTTACCACTCTGCCTTTTTGTTAGCAACCTTTCTTTTTCAGATTTGTCAGCTTGATTTGCCCGGTCTGGGATTTTTTTTTAATTCTTTTTTTTTTTTTTTTTTTTTGAGGGGGATGGGTAGGGATGACATTTCTGGTGAATGTGTTCTGGAGGTCAATTGGCCAATATAAAGAGTTGATGAAACTGCTTTGTTGAAGATCCAACACTGTAGCCCTGTTGCTGAAGATCCATTTCCCCATGCTCCGGTTGCTGAGCTGAGGTCTCAGCATCTGAAATTGCAGCAGCAACGTTGGCACCTCTGGAAGACTGATCTGTTGTGTTTTCTGCAGGGAGGCCCCGTTGTAAACCCGTTGGTGTGGGTATGGTGTAAGCAACCTCCTGAGCCATTTGGCTTCTCTCCTATTACTGTATTAATCATCTGTTCTTTGTGAGACTTGTTTCAAGTACAGACTTATCTGGGATCCTTATCTCAGGGGTGTTCTGTTAGTACCCCTTGATGTTGCCCTCTCTGTTATTTGAGATGGTTCCAGAGATGAGAAGGCTGTAAACACCTGGGGGAGAAGGATTAGTGTCCCTGTTGTAAAGGGAGTAACAAAGAAAAAGAGCATAAAATTAGAGATGTAAAATCAAAACTGTCTCTAGAGAACTTCCCAGCGGTGTTGTTCACTGAGTTCATGGAAAGCAAATGTGTTCTGCCATCAGAGAGTTTTGAGAATTGTATGCAAAAATAACGCAGGAGACCATGGCTGGAGGGAGTTGTTTTCTGCAGGCAGAGAAGGGTCCCAGCCAATCTTACTCACTCCTTTCTTTTTGTGAGATAGAAAACTAGAAGGAAGAATTGCCTGACTGCAGTTTCAGGAAGGTGTCTAGTCAGAAACCTGTGCCACGTATGGCCACTTGGTCCTGGCAGATGATGCTCCCTGCTTGAAAGGGACCAGCAGGAGAAGAATTTAACTTATTTTACTTGCCAGCGTGCTGTGTAGGCAAACTTCCCCTCTATCCCATGTTGCATTAGTCAGTCCTTCTAACACTCAGTCTGAGGAAGAATCACTGCAGCTAGGCAGCTAATCTCATTTCTGTCCTGAGATAAGATTGTTATCGGAGTAATTGTCTGTTTTCTCCCTCTCCTGAGTCTAATCAGTGTGGATTGTGCCAGTACCTCCTGGAGCAGAGCAACTCAGATGCTGATTGCCCTCAAAAGAAATAAAATGTTCAGTGTATATTTAACATAAACTTAGTTTTGTTAGATGTTCGTGGGGAGAATCGTCTGGAAATAACTTGCTCAGGCATGTCTTGCCTATTTCACAGTAATATATTTTGTTCTGGTTTAAATTTTTAAGCTAAGGCAGGCAAGTTCATGTAGTGCACGCTGTGGTGAGGCTTTCAAAAGACAGAGCTGCGCACCAGGGAAGCTGGTACTTTCCCAAGCCCTGGGATAAAGCAAGTTCATGTCTGCAGAGAATGCATACTCTCAGATGTTGGTGTTCTGGACAACAAATAATTCTGAACAATTAGTATTTTTTTCCTTATTTCAAAGCAAATTGTGGCGGTGGGTGGATTTTGCTGGTGGGGATGAAGGAGGCTCAAAGATATTAATTTTTCATGTATCTTTCAAGTTGGGACTAGAGCTTGTCTCTTGATGTGTCGACCCAAGGAAGCACACTGTTTGGTCTCCTTTTAGTCGTGTGCGAACTATGCATAATGAAGCACTTTGGTAAGATACAGAAGTGCTATGTGCTCCCCCTGCTTTATGGATGAGAAAGCTGAGACACAGAGGCACCACGGGCTGCCATGGGAATTGCCAAGGCAGAGCTGCATGCAGCGAGATCAGGAATTCTGCACCAGAGCCAGCAAAGCTAGCAGTAACTCCTGATCCCATGTCGACGCTGCCATTTCCCAGCTCCAAATCCAGCCCAGTGCAGAAAGCAAAACATGTTTTGTGTCCAGTGGTGTTGCAGTTACAGAGACGATGTCTGTCTCAATCAACCTTGTACCTCTGGATAGCTTAACGAAGCTCTAGCTTTTGTGTGATACCTACAGCAAGCTTTAAGGGCAAGAGTGCAACACTGAAGAGAGTGCTCATAGCTGCTGACCTGTATGCCTCTTGTGTGAGAGCCTGTGAGACTCAGTCCACTCAATCAGGTTAAAAAGACTGAATGAAAAGAACGCTTTAGGTACATGTGGATGTCATCTTGGGACCTTGAAATAAATCTGTATGGCCACAGCTGCCTCAAACCTAATGTGTGCTTGTTAAGCGTACTGTGGGTACTCTCTGAAACTTTCACGATGTAGTTTGGCTGTTTCCATTAGACCTAAAATCATTAATTGCAATGGTAGCTTCATGGCTGCAGTGCCTCTTATAGAAGGAACCATAACCACTTTACATTTGCTGGATGACTTGACTGTTATTGCTCTCCTCTTTACAAAATGAGAAACAGAAATACACAGAGAGGGGAAGAGAAGTGTAAAGGTATATAGAAGCTATTTTTACTCTTGACTGTACCTCACTGAGGAGATGGTGGAACTGATGTTTAGAAATCTGCTGTTGGGACTGAAATCATGCAGCTGCATCTGGCTGGCTAATAAACAGAGCTGCAGGTAGGTAGGTTGCAGTATCCACTTAGCTGCAGATGTGAGTGTCCAGCAGTAGAGCTTGGGGTCCAGAAGACTCCTTGTTATGATTGTGGCCTCATGCATAGGGATGTAATGCTGCCTCACCAGCCCTGTCTCCACCTTGTATGGCTTTGTGTGGCTATTTTTGAGGTTTGGTTTCTCTTTTTCACTTGAAGTATATTTTTGTTAGTCTTTGGTCCTTTAATAGGCCCCGTGTTATCAGGCATCATGGCTATACGTATATTAAATGTTCTCCGTTATCTGAGTTAAAGTCAGCGTTCACTCTTTGTGAGCAATTCATATTTCAGAACCTTGTCTCCAGCTGTTTTTTCTGTAATGATACTGAGGCCAGTGCTGTAACTCACTTTGCTGCTTCTGCTGGTATAGCACTTCTGAGCCTCCCCAGTTGCAGTGCTGATGGTGTAC